TTGAGGATTTTTGCATCTATGTTCATTAGGGAGATTGGTCTGTAGTTCTCTTTTTCAGTTGGGTCTTTCCCTAGTTTTGGTAGAAGCCAGTTATTGACATGTCTATACCAAACCAGTCATTGGACCTACTCCTTTGAGGCTGAGGCCTTAAAGACATTACTGTTCAGAGGGTGTGCACCTGGAAAAACTAGAGTCCTACTAAGAAAAACGAAAATAGGTAGAGGTGACAATGGATGTTGGATCACCTACCTAGGTTTGTTTTAAAGCATGGTCCCACACTCACTCACTACACTGTTGGTAAGAGGTGGACTCAATATATATTTGATTGAACTTGAGCTGTCAAAGCAGAAACTTCCATGGTTGGGGCCTCATAGCATGTTGAATCCAGGGAATCTGCTTGTCCTCTAGGCTTGGGGGATAAACTAATAAGACTTAGCATCTGTCCATGGGTTGACTGTGGGGTGTGTGTGTGTGTATGTGTGTGTGAGAGAGATACTGGGGATTGAACCCAGGGCCTTTGCACTGAGCTACATCCTATCATTTTTTAATTTTGGAGACAGACTATTGTTAAATTGCTAACTTGCCCAGGATAGGCTTGAACTTGCTAGTCTCCCACCTTAGCCTTCCAGAGTGCTAGGATTAGAAGGGTGTGTCCTCATACCCAGCTTAAGGGTTGATTCTGTTTGCTTGGGGTAGGATCCCTAGATGAATGAGTCTGTCATGGCAAGAAGAGGGGAGGACTAACATACAGAGTTCCAGGTTAGGTCCTTGCTTCACCATGATTCTGAAACAAGAAAAGCTGAGTGTTTGTGGTATACCTAATAACCTCTGACCCGCCCTTTGAAGGGAGGTGGAGACTGAGGTATTGACTCACTTCCCTTTCCTCAGATCCAAGCAGGGCTTCTGAACACCTGGTCAAAGATGCCACCATTTAACAGTGTGCTCAAGGACTTAATTAGGAGATAAGGCAAAGCTATAGATCAAGGGCTTCAAAAGCAGAGCTCAGCTCCAGAACAACTTCTCAATCTAGATGCTCAGGCCATCCCAGAAGCATTTTCTGCTTCCTCTCTAGACTGTCAGTCCTGAACTTCTACTCATAGCTCCTGAAGTTTGCCTCTGGAAATACAACCTTCATAAAAGAGTAGGCTTGGAATCATGCTATGGTCTCTAGAGCCTAGACTGACTTTATAAATAAATAATTCATGTTGTCAGACAGAAAGTATACAAAGAAAAACAAATGCACATCCTGCACTCAAGGATATTACAGTCTAGTAAAAATAGGGGCTCAATGAGTGGGGAGCAATATTTTTAGTTCTGAATAATAGTTACAAATGGATCCAAAGAGAGTAAAACCAACATTGATAAATGTTTGCAGCAAGACAGGCCAATTGGAAAGTTTAACTTTTATTTTCCAAAAGGTAAATTTTAGTTCTGTTCCTGATGAGTAGGGTGTAGGTAGCTGTAAGAATGGTTGGGCATATAAGTTCAATCCCCAGGGCTGAAGAAAAAAAAAAAGAGAGAGAGAAGAAAAGAAAGAAACAGAAAGGCTGAATGTGGTTTCTTGCTGAGAAATTTAAGATTTGTAAATGTAAGC